GTAAAGAATAAATGCTCAAACAACAGCCGAACCCACATGAGAAAAGTTCGAAGACCTACGTGGATGACGGATGTGAACTAGTCGAATGCAAGTAGTGCTTGGAATTGCGCAATAGATGTGATGGCAGGTGTAGTAAAATAAAATAAATAATATGCGTGGAATCGTATGAGTGATTACTAAAACCTCACGAAATGCGCAGGAACAAGAACACTGCCTTACCGACTGACTCATACTTGCCGTTCGCTAATTTTCCGTTATGCAACTTCCCGTTCTGAGCGGGAGCTTTGAAATCACATAGCATTACAGCAACAAGGATACTGAGATATTTGCATAACTCCGGACCATACGTGTCTGTGATGGAGATCAAACTTGCTATTACCCTTTACGGCGGCTAGCGCGTTCACCCGTGCGGGTCCTTCGTTTCGTCTTTCGGGATTGCGTTGTGATCAAACTACAACTTCAGCTTAACTGAGTTTAATGCCGACTTGTGCTCCCCAGATCAATCCTGTTTCTGGTGATTGCTTATAGCACCTATGAAACACGACTGAGTCGAAACAAAAGACCCGGATGCTGTGGTGGTGAACGCGGAAAGGGTAATAACGTGATCGATCCCCACCGCAGATACCTGGGTGAGGAGTTTTGCAAATATCTCAGAATCGTTGTGGATATTTTAAGATATTTTCAAAACAGACCTCATTCCAGATTCGAACCGGCGATTACTCTTTCTGTGGGCTCAAATAAAAGTTCAGCATAGGGTTTTACACATCGTTGACGAGGTTATATATGACTCCGTTCTGGGCAGTTTATGCTGCAGAACGCTTCAAAATAGTTAGAGAAATGTGTTCGTATGTTGGGCCATTGTGATGTATAGGAAATAGTACTATACATTATCATGCATACCCTGGTGCGTAAATTGAGGTTTACTCTGCAATTCCGTTATGTTCTCAAAATCTGAAGAGCTTCCATCATGAGAAATTATTGTTCATTGTCAAAAATAAAACTAATTCTGAAGTTAGACGTCGTCCTATGTTCTCGCCACACGAAATCCGGCGTTGGCTGCAGTGGACCAACGAGACGCTTTCTCACTGCTTCTGATTGTTGGATGTGGGTTTTTGATGGCAGTTGTTCAGCTAGTCCTCCAGTTGCCATCTCCAATGTGTTGTCGCGGAGAGGACTGTGTACAAAATCTTTCACTGGTTGTGTACCACCTGGGCAAAGTATTTGTTGTAGATTGAAACGACCATGCGGAGTTCTCAGACCGACACAGACCGTGTTTTGTCCGTTTGCTCGTAGTCTTTGGTCTCATGTGGAAACCATTTTTCTAGGATGGTTTCCTATTAGAAACGGTGAACCTTGAACAAATGTGATATATGAGAATAAAATTTTACACTCAGGTGTCATGAAGTTCAGATAATTTCTTCTCTAATGTCCTTTCTAGAGCGGTACATATAAGATACGTAATAAACGGTAGAGTAACGCGTTCCGCTTGCTTCTACACCTATCAGTGACAATTTCCCTATTACCATTGAACTCTAAAACGACTCCAAAGTGCTCTAATATAATGGTTGTGCTTGTGTGTCCGAGATAAAGTGAACAGATCTAACGACCACCGCCCACGGCTGTGTTTTTCGTGGTTTATACTTAGTTCTCAAACCGCATACGATGCACTTTACCAGAATTCGTTGGAGCTACACCTAGGAACAAAACGGCAGTACTCCCAAGCATCTCAATCCGTGTAAGGTTTGGTAGTGCTGAAAATTGTAAACCAATTTCCATTTACACCAGTTTTTACTCGGTCTTTCTCTGCTTTCCTCCACATCGGCTGTGGGACTCTTTTCAACTTCACATTATATATCTATCCTATATTTAATTCGATTTTTAGAAAATGAAGCCTACAGCGCTTCCATTAAATAACCCCCGATGCAGATTTGCTGACAACTGAGGGTAATTTCTCGTCCAATCGATTATTCAAGACGTTGGAAACTTGAAACATTTATGAAGGAGATCTCGCGCCATCTCTTAAGCGCATGTAAATTCCCACTAAATTTTATTTTAAGTATAAAATGGCTTGAAGGAGAGAATTTAAATTTCCCACACATCCAATGGAATGTCCGTAGCCGCAAGCAGCCACATTACTTTGGAGAACACCTTTATGTCTCAGATGAAAACCAGTTTATTTAACTGCTTCGGTTTTCGAAATACGACTTCTTATGGGAAACTAATCGCGTCAAGTGCATTCCATGGACTTCAGAACATCAGAATTTTTTCTTGGCAGAATAATACGTTTAGTCCCCGTAAGGAAAAATTCGCCGCTTTCAATTATCCACTTTAAAATTAATAAAGTTCATTATGATCTGAGATATGTTGGCCTGAATTTGAAAGCCGTCACTGTCTTCGTATATAATGCATGGGATTCAATTCACACCAGGCATATTGTCAAACATTTCCTGAAAGTGTCCGAAATCCTCTTAAAAGCTGGCGGGGCAAAGTAGAATATTGAACTACCCACATCCTTTGGCGTCACACAGAGTCAGCTTGATATTAATTTTCATTTCCTCGCTCATATTTTCCGCCAGCACAAGAAAAAAGTAGGTAGTGTGCGACCTACTGAAAACACCTCAAAGCTCCAGGCTTAGAGTTTTTTTCAATTGCAAGCACTTTGGTAAAAGTCGTTCGTCGGGCTTTTTCTTTGAGAATTCTAGTGCGTCCATTTGGTATTCCGTTCCATGACACCACTTCAGAGCCGCGATTTCCGACTTCGTGGTGTCGTACTCACCATCACGGTCATAGGGTTGGAGTTGTTAACAGTCAGAGTTCCCTACGGAAGCACTGCATACTTAAGCCTGTGCAATTCCGCCCATCTTCGCTAGAAATTAAATCATTCATTCAAACGTTCCCTTGAATGTTTTAAGTTCTCCAGCGATTTGAAGTTGAAGCGAGAAAATCTTAATTTGGATGCTAAAGTTTTTTGTAGATTAGTTTTCTACCACAATTCGGTCTAAGGTCGCCATATTTATTTATAAAATAGATATTCAGGATTCCTGTGATAAAGGAATATTTCTGTTGTTGAGGATACCTTAAATAGATTTGTTGGGGTGGCACACAATTACCATCTAATTTGAACAGACCACTGCACAGTTGTTACTGTCCACTGCCAAAGTCGACAATAATCAATGGTATTTTGTAAATCTGTCTATTATTTAAATTAAAATAAAGGACTTCATTGTGGAGTTATGAAAGTAGTAGAGTGAAGAAACCACTCGTCTTTCTGACCACTTCAGGCTCTGAAGAAAACCCACAAAACGTCGGTGATTGTGAAATACGTTCCGTTAAGAACGTTGACCAACTCTTGTGCGTCTCAAATGAAAATGTCAGTAATTGAACCTTATTAAAATTCATCTTTGTAACAATACAAAAATATCATATTCTATCAGCATTAGGCAGTAACACCGAGATAGTGGAAGAACTCTAGAGAACATGACGTGATAGTTCGGGATAGGTACCCATAACAATGCAACGAACACCTATGCGATTACGAAACGAGGTCGAACCGACGAAGAAAACACAGGAAGAGGTGCATTTGGTGGATGAAGGTCGTAAAAAAAGTGAAAGTCCACGTCTATAAGAGCTAAAGAAGTACCATAAGACAACTAGATACGTCTCTGGCGTTAAGACTTGGATGAGTGGAAAAAGCTCTTTTCTCTTTGATCGGGTAAGTTTGAACTAAATGGAGAGTACGAGAGCGATGCTTGTTGCTCTACTACTGAAATATGAAGAGAAAAAAGCAAGAATGGCCAGGAATCATGGCAGTGTTTTTCGTTACAGGCAGTTTTTTTGACATGTCTTATCCCATCTCACCGCAGCTGTTTATAAGACGTTTACTGGAATTCTACCGTAAACTATGAATTTCTGGAATTCTCTTGTCAAAGAAATATCGAAGTCCATTGGCATCCCAAGCTGTGTTTTTATCCATCTAAATTAATTCCTGTGAAATTTCTAGTATATTCTTCTTTTAAACTGTTAGAAGAATCTCGTAGATCGATCTAGTTGTATTTTTCAACGTTGTTCGGCATTGCGATATACCCATTGTCTTGAGAAGAACGAAAAGAAAAAAGAGAGAAGAAAAACATGAGTGATGATAAAGAACAGATGTGACTCCACTGGGCGAACTGGAGCACGAAGGAAAGCATATTTGGCTTTTGTTACGTGAATTAGTTCATAGAGTATGGGTAGAATAAAACCACAGAGCAGTGGGAGTGTGGAACAATAGCACTAAAAAATTAAGAAGCAAAAAACTTCCTATGAAAGATGAAGGTTCAGAGAAACATCCAGTATAAAGCACCTTATGATGAGATCGCTTTCATGCATAAACAGCCAATATCTCACTCTGTACTTGGTCAAACACGTGTGGTTTGATTGACGACATCGGGATTTAATCGGATGTATCACATTCGATTAAATTTTTCTTATGGGTAGCACCTGCCAGAAACTCTATGCTGAACTGCCTGATCCTAATTCCAGTGCAGTCTTTCTCCAACTAGAATAGAAAAGGACTGAAGGAATATGTATGGATTTTGGTTGTTGCACAGCCAACACGCAAATTTTGTGCGTTGTTGCGCTGCACGAAAGTATGCCTGCGCTTAAACTGAGCTTCGTTGAAAAAAAAGCTAGTTAGTTTTCATGAAGAATTACCCATTTGAAGAAGTCCCGATTGAGAATAAAGCTTGGTACGTTGCCACATTAATTAAACTTTTTCAATTTCTGGAGTTTCTTCATTGCAGGTGCAACCCATAAGCTATCAAGGAAATGCGCTATATATTACCCAACTAAGCGTTTGGTGATATTCCCATCAATCCATAAGCTTTTGATGGACGTTTGAATATACTTTCCACCCATTATTCGCTGAAGAACTATTCTAATGGTCAATTCAACTGTGTCTAAAATTGACGGAACTTTCTCGCCTGACTGTGGCTAGCAGTAACTCTAGCAGAGCACAAAAATTATTCAAGAGTTCCTGGTGTCTTTGTGGTCCCAATGATCACAGGAACAATGATATCGATCTGATCCAGATCTAGCTTGAAGAAATAGCTGATCGTCACTAAGCGATCCGCATGTATGGAAGTAGGCGGAAGATCAGACGGCACAGAGAATTCGATCTCCTTCGTTTCAGGACCTGATCCTGGTCGAGCTTTACATGTGCCCTATAAGTGAAGATTAACAGCTGAAATGAGACCTAGTCCTCACACAAATCTTAAATGAAGAAAGGAATTTTTTTTGTAGAGATCATACATGAGATTCGACGGCTATGGTAACACTTTTGCGGTCAACCAAATGCGATTCGTATCGACTAGTGGAAACGAAGTCGAGTTGCTGACACAGCGATATTAGGACACATTCGTGATGTTCCTGCAAAACGCGAACGCTAAAGCCTACCAAACATATGTTTCAATCCGTTCATGAAGGCAAACAGTGTAAACAGCTCAGTGCAGTGAGGAACGAGGCGCAAAAACGCTTTCGTGTGCTCGATGATTTCCACCGCAAACCAACCATGTGGCTCATCCTCCACTCGAAGTTAAAGCAAGCTTATTAGCGAATTTAGTTTTTGTGCTTTGCAATTTCTTATCTACACACTCTTTTCTCTTGTAATTCGTTAACAGCTTTTGGCAAGAACAACTGTCGTATACCTTCTTTCGTTGCCAACGTTTCCGTCGGGTTCGGTCCTCAACGGTTAACGTGATTCTCGTGGTTTCACCTGAAAAAGTAGTGACGACTACGTGATGTGTTACGTTGTTTAGTATTAAATTTCAGATTTTGAGTTTAATTTAAGATGAGTGCAACCTTTCTAGAATTCAACTCTGTACGTGGCCCACCCCAGATACCAGATAGGTATTAAACGTCGAAGAAAAGCTACCATATACAGCGTTCAAGAGCTAAGGCTTTATTCAGATTTAAATACCAATTAAAGAAAGTGTCATTTCATATGGAACCTTTCTGGAAGCATGTTCAAAACCTACACCATTAGTGTAAAAGTTGAAAATTGGGGCTCGGATGAAGTCGTCGAAAGTCTTTTCTGCTGCCCCATTGATTGACGAGTGTTTTTTTTTTGCCAATGAAGTAATCAAGCTATTTGAAAAAGCTTCACTCAGCTGACGATGGATATGAGGGGACAAGAGACAGTTTCCTTCGCCTTCTGCACTACAACTTCTAAAACATGAAGGCGTATGTCGTTGCGCGGCGGAATTGTTCCTCTATCGCGTGACCAATGACTTCCCTGTAGGTTGCATTTCATGGCGTATTTTATCAATTTCCCCACAGCTTTTACTTGCTCTAATAATTTGCCCAAGATTCAAGAGAATGTAGTGAGTGATTTCATCTACAGAAAAATTGTGCAAGATATCTCGTGATATTATTTCGATGGAAACTCGGCTCCTCAAAACGTTTTGATTCTTCAGCTTTGAATCTTGCGGAAACCGTCATCGGTTGCTGTAAAATAGTAAGACATAATGGGATCAAGCAACGGATCGGTTTAGTCGCAAAAAAGAGCTTCTAGGCCTAAATTTCAAAATCCACTTGTTCTCCAACCGATCTCTGCTGATTCGCACCACTCAACATCTTCTAGTCTTCACTGAAAATGAGAACAAGTAATGGTCTGCTCTCCTCATCTCAATCACGCCTCATTCGGAGGCAATATTGTATCACATAATTGTTGGCGTTTCCCTAGCTGGGTGCAGTGCTAATTCTCCGGCCAGCGTTTATGCATTTGCGTCCGAGTTCATATGCGTATTTACAAAAATTCCTGAGGTTTACGTTTCGTTCATCTTTGTTCCAATGCCGGATTTGCTAGACTGTTCCAGAGAAAAAAAGGACTCACACAAGAACCAAATCTGTGCATATAAAGCGTCCATATGTAAGAAATAAATAGAAGAAAAACTGAGATGTTCATACTATAAAGTCGGACATTTTGTAATGAACAACTGAGTGGAATGAAGATGTGATTAAAATCGTTGGGAGTGGGTCCTTTCACGTACCAGGTAACAGACCGACTTCCTGCACTTTCATTGAAGCCACCACAGTGCCACGAGGTCGTCCACAGCAACCAACAATCTAAATTCTTATCGTCACGTATATCGACAGGCATGAATTTCCGCCACGATAAAGTGCCAACAAAGTCTGCTGTCGGTCTCGTTGATGTTAAGGCAAGAATTATTGAGAATGTGAAAATAATAAAGGATAAATCTCTTTTCAAAAAAAAGTACAGCAAAAACACCATAAATTCTACTCCTACTCTATCGCTTGCCATTATTAGACAAGTTTTCAAGCTTCAAACACTTATTCATTAAATAAATTCAGTTTCGCGATAATACGTAAGAGCTAAAAGATAAAAACTCATGGCGTTGATCAGTCCTTTTAGGATGTGCAATACATTCAATTTCTTTAAGCATCGTTTGGAGGCGATTGAATGCATACCTGGTCTTTACAAGCACTCGCGGTGGCCCACCGATGAATCAGTGCTACTATTCTCCCAAACAAGTCTTGTACCAATTTGCTAACCCGAGGGGATGGAAGGCTTGGTGGGCCAGTGGCGCGGAAATTGATCCCATGTGCATTGCAGGGCGCCTCCGACCACTGTGCTACATGCACCCTTCTTATAATTACGTATGCTGTTAAAAATTTTGAGTTTAAGTTTTAAACAAGTATCAGAAGCAAACTTGAATTATTTGCCCTTGAATGCTGAGTAAAGATTACAGCGAAGCAAAGAAATTAAGTAAAACCATGAGCCGTTTTGAAGCGGACACTCACAATTTCCTCCTCCGTAGACGAAGTAGAGTCTCTCATGTACGGCGCGTCAAGATTTAAGTACGGGTAGACCTTGAAAGTTTTCTCTGCAAGTAATCACCTTTGTCACCTTCATCACCTTTAACAACATTTTTCAATGAGAAACTGGAGGGACATCACGAAAGCAATCTCTGGTTATCCCTCTTAAGCCATACGGTTCGCTATCTTGTGGAACTCAGGTTCAAGTAACACAGAACTTTTATAATTCTTAATAAAATGAACATCATTTTCACGGTTCTTGGAGAAAAGTGGCCACGTATAGCTGACCCAGAGAATCTACTAGCTTTTTATGAGGGAATTTCTGACGCATTATGTGACAAAAGCCTACCTGCTACCATCTCAGTGTCGCCGTCCTCGGGAATCATCATCAGCGCAGTGCAGGTGTATCGAACTGAGCCGCAGTTATCACGATCTATCTAAATGAAACGTAATAGAGAAGCGAGGACACTCAGCAACAGCCTATCCCTTCAAGTGAAATGCTTAAAAACGGCCAGAAAGAGTTGGCCGCTGAACTTGTCTGAGATGAAATCACTGGCCAATCAATTTAATTGAAGCAGATAAATCTAATGAGAAAAATGTAATTTGGATCTTTCTTATCTTCTATAATATTTTGACATGAATTTTACCGTTACATTACACCAGTAGACAGTTTGGAACTCAAAAACTCAACAAAAGGAATAACGCTGTTCGAAACCATCTTGTGATTGCGTCAATGGGAAATTTAAAGTTTGATTGAACACATTGTTGATTTTGAGAAAAGACACCAATAGTACTATAAGAGTAATTCGAGTTCATTTTCTCCCGCTCTAAATCAAAAGTTTTAGAAAATCAACAAAAAAATGCTCCTTAAGAAATGCAAACTCACAGAAGAAAGAACATCCATCGGTAGACGAGCTTCAAACGGAACCGTATGTCGTCCCTCCAACAGAAAAAATTCCTCGGTGCAATGGTCGGCAATCATCCTAAAATCACTTTAATGATGCTGAGATATTTGCAAAACTCCGGACCGCAGGTGTCTGCGGTGGGGAACGAACGCGCTATTGTCCTTTCCGGGAGTAAACATCCTAAGATAACTTTTAAATTATTCCTTCACCGATATTTTATCAGAATTCGTCCACCCAGCAAACGACTCATCGATTTGCGACGAATTTCTTTTAAATAATAGCGTTTTTAATCGTTTTCAGAAACCTAAGGTCTGGAGTTGTAGTGAAAAACCCAAAGTTTTTACTCTTTTTTATAAGAGGACGTCGCTAAACAACTAAGAAAAACTAACTTGCTCCGAAATGTACCCTAAAAAAGTCCTAAACATGAAGATTTATCACAAAAATGTTTCACTCGCTTCCATATAAAAATTACTACTGCCTGCTCATATATTGACCAATGAAAAATGGCACAGAAAGCAGATTAAGAATTTCTTAGTTAAATTGGAAGTGGAGTCAGGCAATCGGTGACCACTTAAGGCATTCACAAGCGTATGAAGAGATGAAGGTGTAACGAACTTCACTGGAACATGGGGATATTTTGTCGCTGTTTCATTATTAGTCGAGGATACCAAAGATCTATCCGTGGAACATACACCGTTAGTCGTTGCAAGGTGAAATGCTCTTCAATGCTTCTGCGAATTTCCGAATGGAATGCGAAAATCAAGATCCTATAGAGAATTCCTCAATCAGATAGAGAATTCTCTATCCGTATAACTAATACAGTCTACGGATCGATGGGGATCGCGTGGCTGCAACGCCGCGCGCATCCTCTGCGTCCACATCCCGTTCTGGCATAGCTAGTACAGTTCAAGTATCGAGGGGGATCGCGTGGCTGCAACGCCGCGCGCATCCTCTGCGTCCATATCCCGTTCCGGCCATGGGACACACCCAGTAGTCCCGCCATTCGACCCAACGACGCCGTCGAGACCGTCCTTGCCAGCCCATCGTTAATTCCACTCCGTTAATTTCACTTTGTAGATTCGTTTGCTTAGGTTATAATGATAGTATATGTAGCCCTTAGCCCGTGAATCGCTGACACATTAGTGTTATCGTCGTCTTTCGTGCAATTATGTTATCCGAGTTAACATAAGTTAAATACATTCATTGTTCACAGGTACATCACAAACGGTTCATAGTTCTTGCGCACTCCCGCGAACGCCCCTCACGTCCTCGACCTGTGAGCCGTTACAGATCCAAGATTCCTTATCACTCTTGTTCGTGACTTGCACAGTAGAGTGATCACCGGAGGGAGAAAGGCTTACGAAAAACTAAATCAGCCGATGGCTTCAAAGGTCAAATTCTTTGTATATACTGACCAAAGTGACTGAGTTTCCATCACTGTCCTAAGATTCTTTCCCTTCAGGGACAAGGTATATCGTCATGTAAGAGTGTTAGGAGCTTGTGCTAACCAGTTTTAGGGAATTAGGCTAGAATACATTATGTTGCAGCTTGTCGGTGCTGTTCATGGCAGTTTCAACTTGCGAGCAAACGGAAAAATCTAGAGCGAATTTGTTTTATTCTCTCCACATCATTACCGAAGACCGTTGAGATCTTTTAGCTAAACACTAACGAGGATAGCAAGGCCTGCTTACATCTTAAGCCTAGTCTCTTTTATGGAGCTTCTTCCACTACATTTATTTTAGCGCATTACCTTGGATTTGAAGTAGTTATCCAGATGTTTTAAAACCAAAACCAGTTTTTTGCTAGTGGAATTCCGGACCATTAGAATTGAATTATAGGGTGAATTTATCCTTAAATAAAGCAACCCTGTGCTAGCAATACAATACGAGCCATGGTTGGCAAACCTAGGCAAGCAAACTGATTTTTTTTTTGACAAGCCTCCAATACCTTTGGGTCTCTCTTGTTTCTCTCGACTTGCAAAAAAGGAGAGGGTAGCAAAACCTACTGAGAAATAAGGCACTGCGAAGATTTAAAATAGGCTTTGTAATTTGTCTAGAAAACCAACTGAGAAAAAGGAGAAACGAAGGACCCGCATGGTGTGGCATTGAACTGATTAGCTCCCAAGGAGAATAGCGTGTTCGATCTCCACTGCAAACACCTGGGTTCGAAGCTTTGCAAATATCTCAGCGTCACTGCGGTTATAATTTGTTTTTAGAGATGCAACTGATTCCAGTATTACTCGTCATTCTAGACGGTTCTCGAGATGAGCGGATCTCTAGCGGGAAATTCCTTTGCTTTTGAAAACTGAATTTCTTGCAACAAATATCCTTTGGCGATGGCCCCAACATGTGGTTTTTTTTCCAACACTCCATAGTCTCCGAAGCCTGGGTTTTTCACAAAGATCATGTCCTCATGCTGAACATAAAAAGCGTCAAATCAGCACTCATCACCCGTATGTGTCGATGGGTAGCAGTAGACGATACTGATTTTTATCCTATATGTGGGCTTTAAATGAATGATGGACAGGTGATGTAATAATGTTGTGGATAAACCTATGACGAACAATGAATTGATGCGAGACAAAATACCTCACACCGAAATTTCTGTAAGGGACCTATTCTTCGCAAGTGATCGTGGTCCGGTTACCATGTTGGCGCTTATTGTTTTTTTCGCTCGCTCGCGCCTCATTTAGTGCGACCACTATATCTTTGATGTGATTCGTCCGATGTCCGAGAAAACTGTTTCGGTACTGTAGGTGTGTATCGAAAAACAGTCTAAACAGCGTATCATGAACAAATTCTTATAATCGCGAGTGGTTGACATTTTGCGAAACTCAAGGTTTGAACTTTCCTGATACGTTGCATACGGCCTATTGGACGGAATATTAACCTACTACAGAAGCCGTTTGAGGCTTCGTTAAGAATGAAATCCCGCAACAGTCAAAAAATTTATCTGTTGAGGTTATGTTATTGTTTGACTGAGTGGTTTGCTTTTCTATTTCACCTTTTCCGGTTCTAAGGGAGCCGAGACCCAAGAAACATCAGCTATTGTGAATAAATCTTGTCATTAACAACCATGTGTCTGTTCACAAAAAACAGTGCATTAGTGATCAATGCTGAGGTTAGTAGAAAGGCGATCCTGAAATTAATTATGTATTTAAGATCTACTAAAGAATCACTAACGTGGTGAGATCGATGACTTCGTCCATGAAACTGTGTCTGGATTCGAACGAGAGGTCGCTGTCCTTGTTCCGCCAGCCCGTTTCCACCACACCAGTCAGTCGTACCAAAAGACCACCGATCCGAACTTCTCGCGTGCAGCCAACATCGACCACACCCTAGAAAGCATCAAGATTTTGGTATGATATCAAAACCTGAAGCAAACTTCACTTTTCTATGTACTTGCCGCTCACTCGTAATGTCAGTTTGAGTGTAACAGACATTTAGCAGCATTTGACTTTCTACACTGCAACAGTTTCGAAAACGATATGCTTTAATTGTGTCAAATGATAAATGCTAAAAGTTTTCTCTCTGCGAATTTTATGGAGATATTTTGTAATGGATATTGATAGCCTACATTGTCGTTGTATACTTACTCAGTTGGATATTTGGATGACTCGTCATTAGGCCCGAGAACAATATCCATTTTTCGGAGTTGTGATGATTTGACTATTGTGGTTCCCTGAGTAGCGAGGTTAGCCAGGCCAAAATCTGCCCCAAGTCGTCACCACCACAGGCAGTCGTCGCCACTACACATCGGAGGGAGCTTTGTCACCGGGTGATTAGCTTGGTACCAGGATGGTGACGGATCCTGGTAATAGTTTACTCTTAGCCTTCCTGATGGAAACGCCGGATTTCTTAGCTCGGGACGCCCGAAATGAATCCCCCTCTGTACATCGTACTCCAACACCCAGGAACACCTACCAGCAACGATGAGACGGTAAACCATTGTCGTTGTATACCATTTTGAAACACTGTTTTTTGCCTATGTTTAGTGTCGGCTCCAAGCGGCTGCACAAACAGCTAAACTCGACTGAATAATGCGGGTTTTTGAATGGTAAATTTTCGACAGCTAAAAAGCATGAGGAGTTGATGACTTAGTTATTGGAGAACTTCGGTTTATCGGTCTAGGCTTTCATATGCTACTATTTGCAATACCCAGTACAGTTTATCAGCAAACACATTGTTTTCAGCATTTAGAAATACTTCATAACCTTCATAACCTACGTTGTAGCGCGACTCGACTTTTGTTGTACGCACGTATTCAGTACGATAACCATGATCCATATTAACAATTAAAATGGAACAACAATCAGTTTTGCAGCTTTTTTACACGACTCGATATTCATTTTGTGGATATCAACACTTCTTCCAATGGATTCGCTTCCCTTAGATCCATCATCCCTGAAGATCTTCAAACTTTTGCATGTGGGCTGGTCGACTGTTTGAGGATCTTCGTCTTCGTAATGAATGTCGTAAGGACCGTGTAAAGCAGCAGCGGTGATCGCATTCATGACGCGAACGGCAAGCTCACCCACACTCTCGCTCAATCGCCCTTCAGGATCCACTAAGCTTCCCGTCCCTCAGGGGCAGGAAATTGTTACAACTTGTCTTCAACCAGTTCACTCCATGAAATCGGAGTGGAAATGCTCCAGCTCGACTTCCTAATGACTCGAGGGCGAATCGACTAGACAACTACTAGTAGTACTACTACCAGCCTACTCAACGACATTTGTGACGAAGACGAAAAATTTCGCGAAAAGCAGCTGAAGAAGCTACACGCAGGAAAGTTCGAAGACTTTTATGGATCGTGGATGCGAGGAAACGAACCGAATGCAAGAAGTGCTGGGACATAATGTGGTGATGGATGTGATGTCAGGTCATGCAATAAAAAATGAAATAAAATTAATGTAGTTGGGACAAGACAACTCTGACAACAGTTTCCTTACTAGTAAGGATTTGGATCTGATTAGCGGCGCTATGTGAGGTGGAACCAACGTTCTACGCATTTTGAACGCTTTCACTGTCACTGTTCTACCTATGTTCTAACTACATTCGACTACTAGTCCAAAATAGTTATGTTAACCAACCTTCATTCTGCCAACAAAGCAATTTATGACGGAGGAGAGATTGTATAAGATTAGAAAACTAGCTGAACTTATCAATATGAGTTGCAGCAGAATATTGAGGCTTGGGAAACACATGAGTGACCGCGAATTACCCCGTTTAGTGATGAGGTCACCTTAGGCCAACATACTCTACCTAGGTGGCGCAAGTGGAGACCCACGATATTCACAACGATGCTGAGATACTTGCAAAAGTCAGACCCCGAGTCAGATTTAAACCCTTTCAGAGGCTCACGTGTTATCCGCTGCTCCACTAAGGCCGCCATATTATACGTCGTCGGCAGTATGAGGATCTCAGTAGTGCAATGGGTAAAAGGAAAGTCACTGGAAACAGTAATCGCGAGTTTGAATATAGCCTAGGGCTCGAGTTTAGAAAGTATCTCAGCATCATTGTGGTTCCACTTCACATATACGGCCTGCCATAAAAGAAATAAGTAGCGAATAAAAAAGGTTGCGCATCAGCATATTCAAAATGTGTTCAAAAAGTTAAAGTGCTTACATAATTGTGGCGTATACCAGTAGCCAACCCTTCAAACTGGAAATCTGCCCACTCCTTAGCGATGAGACCTATATAAGATTCGCTAGATGAAGAAGAGCATCCGTATACTGATAGTTGACACACTTTTCTTCCCTTTGCTAAGCGCTTAGTGCAGCTGTAGAAAAACTGGAACAGGCTTAAGCAGACCTCCATGGAAAGCTGAACAGTGAACAGTTGGTAGCGTAACAGAACCAAAACGGATTTATGATGTATGTGTGAAAATATAAGGAGAACACTGCTACGATACCCACAGTTCATGATGCGCCCATTTCTATCAATTCATCAAAAAAGTAGTTGATTGGAAGCCACAACCCAGAGGAGTTTAACATGGACGCAAAACAGTTCCTATTGCTCACATTTTAGAGAGACTAGCAAGTCGACGTACATATCTTCACCAGCTGTGCACAATTTTTAAAGCATGGTTTAGGTGCGACCAGATTACCCTTCCGCTTAACCACTCAGATGTGTTTGATGTCAGCATGAAAGATAGATAAGAATACGGGAGGGTGAAACATTATAGAATGAGTTCAAGATGGAATTATACTTGCGTTACATTAGAAATGGGAGTGCTTTCATTCTGTTGACTTAAATCGAAAGCCTAGATGGAAGCTGTTTACTGTCCGTTGGAATTCAAAGTCGCACGTGCAGATCGTTGGTTGCAGAACTGAAAGATGTGTGCAAAGATTGGCGATTACCTTTACTCCTTTTATTTATTGCCTACCATAATTTTTCACGGAAGGATACCATGTGAAATACAATGAAGACTGCCCATTAGCCGCCGGAAAGAGTAATAGCGCGTTCGTTCTCCATCTCAGACACCTGCGGTCCGGAGTTTTGTAAATATTTCAGCATCATCTTGGCTGTATTGCTAATTATGCTCAAAATATATGTTGCATTTATGTATAAATTGTAAACAGCAAAACGCAAAATAAATATTCCTGAGTAGAACGTTTAAAACACCACCAAAAAGTTGTAGTAGCAAGATTTGATAGTTATTTAAAAAGTCAAAACACGCTGAAGCCCGTCAATGAATGCGTGCCGTGAACTTCGATGTTTTGTCATCTTATCATAACGAAAAGCTGTTCCTAAGCGTCGAATTCTAGAGACGAAGTAGAGCTGAGAGACAGGCGGAACGAAGGACCCGCATGGTGTGGTAGCGAACGCGTTACTCCCCGGAAAGAACAATAGCGTATTCGTTCCCCACCTTAGACACCTGTGGTCCAGAGTTTTGCAAATATCTCAGCAACATTGTGGGAGTAGAGACATTTCTGCACTTCTTCATCGGTAACAGTCTCTGTGGTGCATATTCAGCGCTGAAAGGCTTTTGCAGTGAAATAAATTCGTCGAAGAAAAGGTTTGCCGTAAATGAACGAATTAGCTAAATTAGCGGATAGCGAGTAGCTTTGCAAGGGCAGCGCATAGCATAAAATATTGAAAAAAAACTATCGGAAGAAAGTGTGATAAAGAAGCTCATTGTGGCAAAATGAACCACTGAAGAGGAAATGCATACGATACAATACAGTTTGTCCATTTTGCCAACACCTCCTGTCAAACATTAATTGGACACGATGCAGCTCGGTTACTATATATTGAGTGGTTGCGACAGAGATGGCTTTTAAATGACAGTGGGTGATTTCTTGGCAATTAGAATAATTGAGGAGTTTGAAACTACACGCATGTGTACGAGGGACTTCACTCTGGAAGGATCTAGAAAGATCTGGAAGCGTTAAGCTACTTTTGTTATTGGCCTATGATATATGGATGATTGCTGATGCGTACCAGATTTATGAAGAATAACTGACCTTAATGATTTCACCACCAATGTACGGCTCGTTCATACCTCTATCCAGTGTAACATCGAAGTAATCCACCTGAATGTCAAACAGGCTCATAGAAAAGGATTGCGAAACACTTTTGAATGGATCTTTGAAAAGTTTATATTAGCAACTGAAGACGAAATTGTTTTAATAACTGAGTTTAACGATGAGGAAAGTTACGAAGGTCGCTTTCGAAACAATGCCGACTTTCGTTCCTATTCTACTTCACTGCATCCACATCATTATTTACATTGGTGTTGACTTAGAATTTGCTAAGACTATTGATCTATCGGTTATTGAATAGTCTGTCAAGATTATTGATATAATGATTATTACCTTCATAGCTGAGATTCATTCTGACATAGATGTATCCGAATAATGTAGCGACGGTGGCCAATTTCTAAACTGAAGAGATCATCGGGAATTCGATTGAGAACACCTTACAGTTCGGAGGTCTCGAACTGAGTGTTCTAGAAACGGGCTGAAAGCGAACGAAAACCAGAAAAATCGAGAAATTATAGGCATAACTGTTAGCAGTCAAACCGACACCAACATGTTTGCCTTTTTCTTTGGAACTTTTTTTTACAATACAGACGTTACACTAAGCATTCGAGATCAGCGCCGAATCCTTTTTGTCGTACTCATAACGAAATCTTGCTGTTCGCCAAGAAAACCTTATTGAAAATGTACGATGGTCATTGAAGAAAGACTCAGATGGACATTTAGAAGAAGAAGTACGAATGAATAAAAAAGCAAGGCAATGAAAGAGGAGTTTTCCATCAAGATCTTCGCACCTTTGCATCGTAACACCGTTAATTTTCAGAAAATGGAAAGCAATTAAGGAAACAAAGATAAAATAAATAAATAGTACTACAATGCAGAGCACAAGTTGATGAATCTCAATGAGATGGTCTAGATGGAATACATTGCTTTAAGCTCGAGTCCCATCCCCATAACTATCCAACACTCACGCCGTCGTCAGTCTACTTATGCTAGCGAAAGCCTCTACCAAGGACAAAACCCAAACTTTTTGTTCATTTTCAAGGTTCATGTCTCGATTCACTGTTTAGAGATGAAAGCACACACTACTACGTTATCTCTTCTATTCAATATTTTTTTATACGCTGTTCAGCAGGAATCTACTTAGTAATGGCTGAATTACCATATCTGAAAAAAACTGGAATGAAGTGATAAGGATTTTTGCTTGCGATGAAGAAAATGATGTACATACGAAAATAGCCAGCAATGAATGAAATCATTTCACTACACGCTTCACCATTTCTTATTACCCTCGCATTCACCGGCAGAATGGTCAGAAGCGAACAACATTTGTCGTGATAGCACAATCTCTTTGAAGTGAAATGATAGAACTAGCTGAGATACATGCAAAGCGAAGGAGCCGGATGGTGCAGTGGTGAAGTGCGCTGCTCCCCGGTGAGGACAACAGCGCGTGTTCGTTCCCCACTGCATACACCTGTGGTCCGGAGTTTTGCAAATATCTCAGCACTTTATACGAGTTATATTTCACAACATACCCTGCCATTAAGAAGAAAAAGGCAGTAAATAAAAGAGTTAAGATTGAAATGCTATCGTTAACGAGAGGGCGCATGTGGAGCAGTGGTTGAAGACGTAGTGCAACACACACGTGGAATCGATCCTTCTTTGCTTTTACCGTTAACAAGGGTCAAATCAGTACCGCCATCATAACAAGATATCGGCTCACATTGTTGTGTTATGACCACAATATTCAAAGTAAAGCTCCCATTTCCACCTCCAGAACCTTAATTTTCTATAGCTCACAACGATTTGTGTAATAGTCTATGGCCAACTGGAGCCAAATTTCTCGCAATGCGACCTATGAAAAGCGGTAATATTTTGAAAGACGGACTTCCGATTAACTTCAGCAATAAGAATCAACTTACTATTTTAAACTCTCCATGATCAGCTTATACGACTGTATCAACATGCATTTCAATGATCGATGATTAAGGTTTTGACGAGTTCGCTTCTTTAATGGCGCCTTCCTTTTAAAATAGTGAGACAACCCACGTGTTGTTTACATAGGATGATCAATACTCACTGCTAACAGTGACGATAGATCTAATCCTTCATTAGTTCAAGGTGGAGGAATCTCGTCTAGCGCCCATAGATGCATCTGCACGACTCGTCACATAGCATCAGAGGCCATCAATCATCGCAATGGGACGGCTTCGATTCAGTGTAAAAGCAGCCTGATTATAAATGACGCTGACAGCAATAACGACAGCAATCATGCGACAGCGGCTTCCATTTTCGGAAAAAGCATCACAGGCATGGAACACACCGATTCGAAGGCCTCACATCGTGGGCATCCGCCTAGACTGAAAGTGTGGAAGTGTATTCACTGCCCCGTCTAGTAGATGAATGAAACCACCTCTGTCACATCTTTACCACACGAATAGATAGAAAGACTGCATGAAGAGAAAACACTAGGATAAGAGTTTGTCAAGATTTAAGTGTTCAAATCGGATAGAACAAAGGCGGCACTATATCCGAGACAGCCCCTGACGGTGTTTTCAAGACTTCTGTTACCCCTGTAAAGTTCACCACCAGCTTCCTCTTTTTCCCTAATTAATTTTCCATTTTTTTGCTTTTCGTGCTATGATGTATCATGCTCGATAAATAGAAAATCAAACATGGGTTAATATTGGTCTTAAGTTTCCCCCAATTACAGTATGCCTTATGGGAAAAATCTGCAAGTACTGCTATAAATGTGTTTCCAATTCGACATGAACTTTCTGCTAATTTTGAATCGACTAAAAACAACTGAACACAGATATTAACATTTCCTTGAATGGCTGGAAATTTAGGGATTCGTATTCGCGAATCGTGGAGGCGGAACCACAGTTTCAATTGAACTGTGGCTGAGAGTCCAAAGATCTCATCATACTTGAAACTCACCGGCCTAAAAGTCTCGAAGTTGCCCGTTTTGCTACTGCTGTTCCTCCATAACAGAGGTAATCTTTGCCATTGGTCCTAATATTAGTTTTACTTTCGGAAGCGAAATCCGCAGTTCCCACATTTCGTGAGATTCTGTCGGGAATAAACAGCATAGGCGAACACCGCGACATTGGCACTGCTTTCTGATGGAAACTAGACTAAGGAAGGAAAGCAAATGCGAATGCTCGTGAGAGCATTTTTGTTGAAGAAGTCGCAGAATCGAAAATTCTTTGTAGAGAAAAATTTCAAAAATATTAAGTCCCACGGATTTTACCTGGCACCCAGACAAGCTTGGTCCAGTATTCTTAGAAAAGAGCTCGGAAGATCTAATCGAAAAGTCTTGCTGATTGCACAACTAGCAAGACCTTGTGATTTGCAACCTTATAATGGGATTTGTTAGATTGGATAAGGCAAAATTTGAAGCCACTGCAAATTGCACTTTTAGAAAGTGTTTTTCCTAATTTAAAGAGGTTAGAAAAACCTAAAGTTAGGAGTGAAGCAAAAGATTTGTGAGACTGCTCTTTTCCGTCTGATTCGTTCTTCAACAAACACAACTAATTGATGGACTAGAAAGTTGTCCAATTACTATGTTAACTAACTAAAAAAAAGTGGTGCCATGAAATTCCTTATGTATTGACGATTGATGGTACATGCTAACAAAACTTAGAATACGGCAAAACGAAACTTAATAGATGATTAAAAAAAGAGTAAAAAAAAATGTTACAGATATGCATGGCCGTGAAAGCTGAGTGAAAGAAGAGAATGACAAGAAAGTAACGAATAGACGAGAAGCTCTCGGATAGCCGCTTATTGGATGATTTGAGGACGACCTCCGTTACAAATTGCGTCTACGAAACTGATGAGTGGACTGCGATGGCGTGGAGGCTGATGATGACCACGCTCATGTCGGCCACCGGACCGGCATCGGGCCGTTGAATGGGCCGAGTGGTAGCCATGTGCCTCCACGGCAACGCAACCGAGGGGGAAATCTGCCGTCACCTATAGTCCAAACGACGTAGAACTATGAAAGCTTAGTACTTCGCCCACGTAGCAAATAATTAGACTTATTTATTAGTGATCTTCATTACTAATAACAAGGAACATGATGTTTTGAATCTTATTCCTGAGGGGAATTAACGTACAAACACGAAGGGCTGTGCTTTAAACAATTTAGTTGAAATGGTACGTACGAAATTAAATGCAGTCATTGGTTCAAAAAGTTTAAATTACTCAGACCACATATAGGAGGGATGACAGCAGAATAGTCAAAGCCTAGCAAAAACTCATCACTGCTTCCAACTGCAAGATTAGAAGATTGCAACATCGTAGGACTTATCTATCTAAACACCAACCACCGCATCGGAAGTTCGTAAAATGACAACAGAAAAGCGGTCGATGTATGGTTAAGTGCTGTGTCCTTTGCAGATGTGTCCTTTATTCCACAATTCACAGCCAACCCACCAACGGAGATCTCAGTTCGCATGGTAGCAGGAGCCGGATCAGAGGTCACTCGGAGCTGAGTGCATTTCACATTCTGCCAGATGCACACAGTGTAAAGAGTATTGTGGTAAAATCTCATCAAATCAGTCAAATCACTTTGTTAAGAGCTCTACATAGTCCGTACCTTTTACACTCTGTCCAATTTTAAAGGTACATCACTATAAATATTGAGCCACTCAATTATTTCCATCTTAGTATTTGAAAGACAAGCTCTTCTTATCTGCGCGGTAAAAAATGCAAAAAACTAGACTGAACAATAATAGCAATAATAATAGTTTCACGGGTCTTCTGAGAAGCATTTCACATGAATAGAAGGGAAAAGCTTTAAAATATGCAGTCTCTGTTTTTACTTATTTCCATTTCTGTTCAGGTACAAATCGATCAACTCTTTGCCCACTGTTGCTTAGTCGCAACTCATTAAAGGCATTTTCCGCAGCTACTGGCATCTTTCCTCATGAAAACACTTCTCGGAATCCATAATGTTCGTTCTCTTAACACGGAGTAGTGCGAAAACTCGTCCAAATGGATGAGTTGTCAATTTTTACTCAGTGCAATTTGCCACACTGCGATTTTCCTACTGCGAAAAACGAAGTGCA